CCCCGGGGACGTGGTTGTACACGGACTCGAGCCTTGCCAGCGCTTCCCTAGGAAAATCCAAGCGCCCACCTCGGAGCTGCTGTGAGCTCTGCTCCCCTCCCACGCTGTGACTCGACTGGAGCTGGGCTCTATTTAACAATTACCATCACTCCGTAATTATCGCTTGCTGATTTTCCCCTTTGTTCCCGCTTCCTGGGGAGGGGGAGAGGCTTTTCTGCCGTGCCAGGGAGCTAAAGATGTCTCGGATCCAAGACGACGCGGGTGTGCCGGGCGCTGCTGAGGGGGTTTAACCAGGCACGGATCAAAACACCTTCCCCAGGTCACCCGTCACAGCCGGAATGAAACGCTGGGGGCTGTTCCTGCCCCCGGTTATCAGACATGAGCTCCCAGAGGCTGATTAGGGAGCACAGGAGAGCGAGGAGGGCTTGTAAGGAGCCTTTATTATTGAAATGAGGCAGCAAGGGAGGCTGAGCGGATGGATCCTTAATGAAATGGGGGAGGAAGGGAATTAGAGGGAGAACAAAGTACAAGGAGGATGAAACAGTCTCGGGAAAGGAGGATCTGGCTGATGGAAGATGTGGTGGAGGCACAGCGACCCTGGACGCACAGGGAGGCAGCTCAGCGTTAATTCCCTCCCCGTTCCTTAATTTCCTCCGAGCGTGGCCGTGCCCAATCCATGCCCCCGGGCCTCTCCCTGCCCCTTCCCCGCTCCCGGAGGGAGCAGCAGCCAAACCCCACACACAGACACTCGGATTCCATTCCCTGACCCCTCGACTCGGCGTTTGCACGAGCCCCGGTGGGAGCAGGAACTGCCCGGGAGCGATTCCCAACAAGGGCGCGATTATTCCCTGGAAGACACAGCTCCCAAAGCAAACCCCGCGCTCGGGTGTCCGCGACACTCGTTGCCAGCACGTCACGGCATCGGCTCGCCGGGGTTTTGTTTAATTAAAGCCTCATTAGTTCCACCGCCTGCAGCCCGCGCCTGCCAAGGGCCGATCCCAGGGAGAGCGGCTAGATGGCACCAGGAGCCGGCCCGTGGATCGGCGCCTTCCCTTGGGAATGCTGGTGCGGAATTCCCAGAATTTTCATCAGAAAAGCGCTGAGCTGCGTCAGGGCAGGGTCAGGTTGGATCTCAGGGAAAGGTCCTTCCCCCAGAGGGTGGTTGGGCACTGAACAGGCTCCCCAGGGCTTGGTCACAGCTCCAAAGCTGCCAGAGCTCCAGGAGGGTTTGGATGATCCTCTCAGGGACAGGGTGGGATTGTTGGAGTTGGATCAATGATCCTTGTGGGTCCCTCCCAGCTCAGGGTGTTCCATGATTCCATGGCTGCCCAGGCCCCTGGCAGAGCACTAACCCACAGTGCCCTCTGTGTCCCAAAGGGCATTTTCCTCCTAATCCCTGCACTGGACACGAAAATTTTGGGGATCTAAGGGAGGAGCCACAAGTACCAGGGTGGAGCAGCGATGGCAGGTGACCTGGCACACAGCAGAGCTTTGGAGTGGGAGCTCCTGGCACATTTAGGTGGCACCTGGGAAGCCAGGAGGCATTCCAGGAAATCATTCCTCAAGACACGAGGCAGCTCCTCCTCCTCAGGAGCTTCCAAATATAGAATCATAACACTGTTAAGGTTGGAAAAGACCTTTAAGACCATCAAGTGTGACTGTGAACTCAGCACTGCCACCATTAAACCATGTCCCCAACTGCCACATCCACGTGTTTTTTTAACAATTCCAGGCATAGTGACTCCACCACTGCCACTGTGCCAGGGCTGGACAATCCTTTCCATGGAGGTTTTTTTCCCCCAATATCCAATTTAAACCTCCCCTGGCACAACGTGAGGCCGCCCATCTAAGAAAGGACCTCACACACAACTCGGGCTGGAGCAGAATTCCAAAGCTGGGCTGGTGGGGGAAGATGGGATGGGAAGGGATCCAACTTATCACCCAATTCCTGCACACCTTGGAGTGCACCTAATGCAGAAATCACTGTTAATTCTGCTGTCACAGGCAAACAAACACAGGCTCGTGTTCACAGACAGCTCCTCTGCCTCCAGGATCAAATCTTCTCTACAGATAAAACTGTTCAGTGCTTTATATTATAATAAACAGTTGCTACATTCCCTTTTTTTTAGCAGCTATTTTTTTCTAAGACTCTAGTTAAGTACTATTTTAAACAGCACTCCAATCTGATAATATTTCAGTTTGGTGGCAATTCAGCTCTAGGTTTTTATATTTAATTTCCTCACCCAGCACGACGCTGCCCTCGATTTCCTTTCCCTGCTGTCTCACCAAAATACACTTAAAATTCTCCATTCAGCCATCTTGATTACATCCCACTTTGCATCAAAGGAAGAAAATTACCAGCCACTTGAAATCAAGCAGCAGCTGCTTGGGTTTAACCCCAAAATGCCTCTTCCAGGATGGCTGGCACAGGCAGATGCATCACAGAATCCCAGGAGAGTGGTTATTCCTGCAGGAATCCCTTTGGACTCACAGGGAAGGGACAAGTCCTGAGAGAAGGGGGGAAATGAGGGATTTGAAAAGCAAAGATCCAGGGTGGAAGCAAGACCTGAGCCCTGCAAAAAAAACCATGGGAGCTCTCTCTGGGGTCAAAGCCAGAAGAAATGGAATTAACAGCCTGGAAATTCCAAGCTTCCTTCAGGCATCCTGGCATCACAGGGAAGGAGGAGTAATTTGGTAGAGTTTATACACCAGGTTACTCCATTTAGATTGATTTTCTTTAGGCAGAGGGTAAACCAGCACCAGGCTCCCAGTCTGTGCTGCTTAATTCCAATTAGAACAGGTAAAAACTGTCCCAGGATCAACTTTTGGAATTGTTCGGTCCAAAACCAGGGGGTTAATTAGGAGAAGCGACTTCCTGGCACAGCAGTTTCCTTCATGGACAGAACAAGGTGGTTTAGGCAAAGGACTGTGACCCGTGTGAGCCTTGAAACTGCAGGTTTGGGATGCACAGTGGGGAAAAAGAAGTGGAAAGACAAGAAAAAGCAGCAAGTCTTTCCCAAATGGTGCTAGAAATGAAGGCTGTCCAGCCCCAAAAACAGCACAGGCTACTCAGTGGAAATAAGAACAATTATTAAACACTGTTGGGCTTTTTTAAACACAGAGAGAAGACTCAGGGAGATCAAAGTCTGGTAGAGCAGTTGTTCAGTTTGGGTTTTGGCAAAGCAGCCCAGGAGTGGGCTGGGATTTCAGCAGCCAGGTTTTACAGGTGCAGGAGCACAGCTGGAACAGGGAAAGCACTGAGGGCACAGGGATGGTTCCTCCCCTCCCCTTTATTTACAAGTAGGCAGAAAACACAGAGGTTTTTCTCCTGTTTACTTCCAAAGGAAAGGAATACAGAGCTTCAAGTCATTTTACATAATTCCATGTACAGCCTGGGTGAACTGTGAGCTGGATCCAGGACACCTTCCCTGGCAGAGCCTGCACTCGTGAACAAAGTGACAGTGGAGCCCCAGCCCGGGCAGCGCCCTGGGGACACCTGCAACCTCCCTCCCTGTCCTCTGGGGCTGAAGCTGGGTGGCCAATAAATAATTAAAGGGATGTGGGAATTCCAGCCCTGGTTCCCATTCCCCCAGGCTGCCACCCACAGGGCTCAGCCAAGGGAGCTTGGGACAAGAGGCAGCGTGGAAGCGGTGACAGGGATACATTCCGAGTCAGGGGGAGGTGCAGGGAGGGGAGGGCTGGTTATCCTTCAGCAGGCAGCCAGTCCCTCCCCTGCCACACACACAGGCTGTGCAGAGAGCCCAGGGAAGAGCACATTCCCCTCCTGGAAGTTCAGTTGTTCAGGGGATCGGGATTCCTGCTCTTCCACGTGCACACGCGAGGGATAAAAAAGTGACCTGCAAAAGAGGAGGGGGCGAAGGCAGCCCCCAAACCAGCTGCAGTTGGTGTGCTCGGGGGGGTTTTGTGCATTAAAAACATTCAGAGAGTTTGGGGTTGGGGCTTTCTGGTACCACAGAACCTCGGGGGATTGCAGGAGCAAAGGCTGAAGGCAAAGGCAAGGCTGTTCCATGGAGCTCTCCCAGAGGGGGAACAGTGCATCCCTTCTCCTCACCCCCCAAATCACTCCAGGGGAACCCCCAGCACATCACCCTGCAGCCCCCAAGGAGTTTTGCTAACAGGGGAGATAAAAAAAATCAGCAAACAGCTCGAATTTCAAGTAAGAGCAAGCAGAAAAGTTGGATTAACAGCAACCCCCAGCCTTTGACAGAGCCTGAAACTCCTTCACCGAAATCTTTTGCAGGTCTCCCTTTTAAGGCCTTAATATTACAGAAAGAATTCTTTTGTCTTGTGCTTGCAATTGCTGCCCTGTAGGAGGAGCAGCAGCCAAATCTCCTACAAATGTAACAGTTACAGTGTCTAGTTGTCCACGACCGTGCAAAGATACACACAGGGAGGGGGAGAACTATCACCGGGTGTTTGAAGCTTGTTGCAGGTACGTCAAGGTCGGGATTTATGTGCCAAGTGTTCCAAACAACCACACAAAAGCAGCCAAATGTTGAGCAACTGCAACACTGCTGCAACTCAGGATCTCAACATCAGCCACAGCAAAGGAAGAAAAATAAAAGTAAAGTAAAATAAAACAAAATAAATAAAAGAAAGAACCAAAACCAAACCAAAACCGAGCACTGTTATGGACACAGAAGAGTTTTATCTTCACTGGAATTGTATTCCCAGGAGGGAAGACTGGATGTCAGAGCGACTTGGGGTCACCAGTCAGGTTGAGACCAGTGCAGATGTTGGCACAGAGATGACAAACACCAGCTGGGGCCAGTTCCAGAGTGGATTGTCATGGCAGGAGATCCTGTTGCTGAGCAAAGTGATATCCATGGAGAGGAAGAGAGAGTGACCCCTCTCCTTAGAAGTTCTAGTCATGAGTTAAGGAACCTTAAGACAACTTCCCAAACAGCAGCAACAGGATTCTGTTGGGTCTTCAGAGATTCAGTCCCAGAGCTGTTTTGGGTTCAGAGGAAGCAGCTGCAGCCTTTTGTGCCAAATCTGTAAAGAAAATTGCAACAGAAGGAGGTCAGGTTTTATCAGCCACATCCACAACCAACCAGTAAAATTCCAGAGTGTCTCAGAGCTTCACTACTCTGCATTGTCTTGGAAACATATTTGACAAGGGATGCTCTGAAAACTGGGATTATCAGCTGCCCAAATAGGAAGAAAACTACATGGAGAGTGCTGTGTGATTGTTCATCAAGAGATTCCTGAAAGGAATTGAAAATGGAAGCCTATTTACCCCTGTGCCAGACAGATCCAGGGAAGTGCAGGAAGCAGTTCAAGCCCACAAGCTCTGGTCACTCACTGCTACTAAATTATGCAATATCCTGAGTTGGAAGGGACCCAGAAAGATCATCAATAAATAGTATTATTTATTTATCAATCTTATTGTTTATTTACTTATCAATAAATAAATAAATTTAATACCTGTACCACATAAGACAGTCAGCATTGTAGGACAGGGAAGATGCCCATTGTTTGACAATTTATCTAATTTATCCCTTTGAACACTGCCTGCCTTTGTTAAATGAGGATGAAAAATTAATCAGTCCAAGCAGCAGCTCCCTCCCAGAGCCTTTTCCTTTTCCCTCCAGCCCATGGCAGAGGCCAGGCAGAATTCCTAGCAGAGGGCAGTTCTTTTAAGACTGGAACTTTAGCCCTGCTAAACATCTTTTGCTCTGCAGAGGGCAGTTCTTTTAAGACCCAGACTTTAACCCTGCTAAACATCTTTTGCTCTGCAAGGCTGCCCCAGGTCCCCCCAGGGCCTGCTACCATCCCTACCTCCATCACAGACTGTCAGCTTCTCCAGCTCAGCTTCCAGCTCAGCATCAGAAATGGGGGGATTCAGCACCTTCTGGGGAACAGGAGGCAGATCCACAGGCTCCTTGGTGGAATCCTGGAGGAGACTGTCCAGCTCCTTCTCCAGTTCCTCGGTGTCCATCTCTGCTGGGGAAAGAAAACACTCAGTTCCAAGAAGAATTAACCCAGCACAGGTGGAAATCCGAGTGAAACACAGGTATTATTGCTCCCATCCCTTGCTACTCGTGAGGAACTTCCTGTGTTTCCTCTAAAGGTCTGAAAAATCCAGGGCTGATTTCATGGAAAAGGATTTCTCCCATCAGAAAAACCTCTGCACTGAGGCCACTGAGATGTTGGCAAATCTCAGCAGAGACAAACAAGCTGCAGCAACACCCAGGCCAGAGGAAAAAGCTCATCACTTCAAAAACAAAGCAGCAGCCGCTCTAAAAATAGAGTTAAATCAACATTACACAACTCAGAGCTGAGATCCAGCAGCAACTGGAGCCTACAAGGGTTTGGAGAGGCTCAAATCCCAGTTTGCAGGGAAAGGAGGACAGCAGGGAAGGGAGGAGCAAAGGATAAGAACCCCAAGACATACCCAGGCCATTGATCCCCACTCCAGCCAGAGTCTGGGCTACTTCATCTTGAGTGTCACAAAGCTGAGGAAAAACACACAGAGTTGGATGTGGAATATAAACTTCTGCCTTACTGAAGCTTTGTCAAAAGCAGAAATAACAAAAATAATTCAAAAATTGACTTAAAAGCAGCAAAACACTTCCATCATGACTGGTTTTTCACTGGCAAAAGGAATAACAGGAAGATTATTTAATAAAGGGCTACAAGACCAAGTGGGAGATTTGAGGATCAAACCTGAATCACAATTTCACAGTAAAAGTAAAAAAAAAACTAAAACAACCCTCTCATTTGAGCTTTTTCACATAAACAATGAGTTTATACTGCAGCTTAGCTACAATATTATTATATTTATTAGATAATACAATATTTACTATTATTATTATATTAGCTACAAAATGAGGAATCTCAAGTCCAACACAGCTCAGCTACAACACTTTGCAGCCCCTCAGCTCACGAGCTGAAGTCACAATTTGAGCTGACACTGCTAAAAACCAAAAATTAATCCTTTGCTGTTTTTCCCACCAGCTTATGCAGACAGATTCATTTTAATTCACTCAGAATTAACTCCTCTCCTTTCCCTCACTGAACTGCACAAGATGATGGGTCAGGCAGCTGTTTTATGCTTGTAGTTGCATTCCAGCTTCCAAGGGTTTGACTTAGATTTCTTTTTTAAACACACCTGAACATTTTCTAGGAAAGCTGTGGGTGTGCCCAATATTGCTGAGCAAAAAACCCTCAAGAAATGCACAGATTTAATGTAAATACATGAAACCAAACACAGAGTTCTCTGCAAATCTCTTCTTGCTGAGCTTTGAGATCAAATTTAAGTCAGTTTGCTTTGGTGACATAAAGAA